CCAAGAGTGGCCAGTTTCCACAACATCCAGGGTTAGGCTCCGTGCAGAATCTCCTCACAGACAATAACAACAACCCCAAGGGTTTTTTAAATCAAAGCCAGGCACCTTGTGTCCCTGTTATGGTGAGGAGGAGACTGCAAGATCTGATCTTGGCTGGCTGACATATAATTCTGGGATGGGAATTGAAAGTCTGAGACTTCCACAGTAAGGAAAGCTTTACAGCTTCATGACGGTTCCTTTATTCAATAAACGAGAATTTTTTAAAAAGCAATTTACCTCAGAATGAGCTCTAAATGTCCAGACTTCTAATTTGAAGGAGAAACCAAAATATGTCACGAAGCTCCTCGAATCCATTAAGACCTGGTTGTTCCGGCAGGCCTGGGGTTGATGAGTTCCCAGCCCCACTCGAATTGTTGCGGCTGTTGATGAGTTTTTTAATCTGTTTTTTGTATTTTGTTTTGTCTTGTTTGTTTTCTTTGTATTGCCCCCTTCCCTATTTGGTTTGTTAGCCGCCCTGAATCCCTCCGGGAATAGGGTGGCATACTAGTTTAATAAACTGAACTGAACTGAACTGAATGAACAATGCTTTTCCACATTGCCACTACATTCCTTTGGTGGCTCTTCAGTTATAAGGGCACTGAATGAATGAGATTTATGATCAGTCCTCATAGTTGCGACCAACGCAGCAGCTCCACAATCATATGATGATCTATGATCTGGGCAAATGGCAATTGGTTCTGAATTATGATGGATACAGTCATGTGATGACCATTGGAGATCATTTCGCTGCTGGCTTCCAACAAGCAAAATCAATAAGAAAGCTGACAGGAGGTTGCAGGTGGTGATTGTGGGATGCTGCAACTACAAAGGATTCATCCAAAAACAGCATCTTAAGACAGCCAGGTCTGCTTTATAGCCGCATCTCTTAATGACAGCCCCGATTACCATCATTAAGCAAGGACTTCTTGTACCAAGGCAGGTCATTTGTCAACTGGTTCACAATTGGCTGTCAAATCATATTAGCTTGCCTATCAGTTCCAAGTAATGCCCCCAACAAAAGAAGATTCCGAAGCTTGAAGTTCCTCAAAGTTCCATTTTATTAGGGATGTCATATTGGCACATCTGGGAAAACCCGAATCTGAAAGCTTCCAGGTGTTCTCCACCCAGAAGAAAGTCCAAGCACCTACCCAGCACCCACATGTCCGTTACATGGTCCAGTCAAAGCACCGTCCCAACCTGGAGAGGCCTTCCAGTCACCCCCTTCCAGGTGCAGGGCAGAATGTCCTTGACTCTCGAAGAAAGAATGTTGTTATGACTGTATATCTCCCCACCTCCATACGATCCTCCCTCCCAGTTTCCCACAGGTGAAATGTGGCAGGTCTGAAGATCCAATGCCCAAGATGGCTTCCACGCCTGACAGGCCGCCCCCCCTCATCTGATGATCGAATCCTGCAATAATAGCAACATAGTGGGTTAACCAATTTTCCTAACCACCTCTCCCTCCCCTCCCTCTCAGGAGGACCCTTTGGCTTGTCAGGATATTTATATGGAATTGTTTCACTAATCTGTCTGCCTTTAAGTTCCAGCTTTTAACCCAAGTAGCTTCAGACAAAGGGTACCCCTTCCAATGAACTGAGTACTGTAATTGTCCTCTAAATGATTGATCATGGATAAGAATTTTCTGTGTCCAGCTTGCAGCTACTTTCCGCTGACCTTCGAGCCACTGCCCACAGAGTATATATTGTGGCTTCTGGGCCTCACCAGGATCTCACAGCAAGAAGCTGCTGCATGAAAACCCCAAAGCTTCCTAACAGAGCACATGCTTCTTAGCTCTGGAAATCTGGCACGATAGCAGAGGAGGACATTTCTAACAACAATGGGTAACATTTTGAGCGTGAACTACTCCAAATGCAAAATGCCCCCTCAGTGAGAAACAGCTGCAAGGAATGAAGAACAGAGTTTTGCTTGCATCAAAGTCATTAGTCTCCGGACCCGCTTCAAGGTGCTGGTCGTAACCTATAAAGCCCTACATGGCATCGGACCTGGGTACCTGAGAGACCGCCTCCTGCCGATTACCTCCCGATTACCTCCCTCAGACCGATTAGATCTCACAGGTCTCCTCCGGATTCCATCTGCCAGCCAATGTCGGCTAGCGACTCCCCGTGGGAGAGCCTTCTCTGTTGCAGCTCCAGCCCTCTGGAATGACCTCCCCGTGGAGATCCGGACCCTTAC